TTTATTGAGTGTTTGAGTGTGTTTTCAGTGTGTAAAGTCTGGAAATTGTTGTGTAAAAGGTGTCTAAAAGCTGGAAGACTTTCTCAATGGTAAAACAATCCATGATTATTTTTTATAGAAAGAAATGTATAGCTTTTGAGATCTTATTTGAGTTTGTACATTTATGTTTTTCTAGCGGTCGTTTCCCAGCTGTCAATGGCATAAAGTGCAGTGGCCCTCTACGCCCGCCCTAGCCCCAACAGTCTTGGGCTCTTCTTTTTGTTCATTAATGCACACATTTCCTTGGAGAAACAAAGGGTCAAAAGCGCTGGAAAATTGAATAAATGTTAATTGAAAGGAGTTCAGGAAAACGCTTTGGATTACTCCATCAGATACGATACCCTGCCACTCCGCCTTTCCATTGTTGTATTATTTGTTTTGTTATAAACAAAACTATAAAATTGTTGTGGGGGCTGGGGCTTCAGGCAGCGACGATTCTTCCATTTATCATCAAATAACTTTCATAACTTTTGCCTCAGTCTCAGGACTTCCCAAGACGCTGACAGTCCGTCAGTTATTCCATCGCTACATCCGTCAGTCTGTCAGTCTGTCAGTCAGTCAGTCAGTCAGTCAGTGAGGCATTCATTCCTTCAAGCATCTGGCACCTGCAGCTGGATGGGATGGATCCGCTCAATGCCTTCGCCCGCGATAGATATTTGCATACATTTCTCCAACTTTTATTCTCACTCATTCACAGAAACAACTCAGCCATGGATCTTCGCAAAATAGAGAGAAAAACTTATTCTCCGCCATTTTCCCTCTTAATGCTGCAAAGGGGCGTTGGGAGGTTGGGGAGGCTGTAGGGCCACAACTTTCGCTGCAGTCGTGGCGAAAGATGGGAACGGGTAGAGGTCGGGCATGGGCTTGGGGACTGCGACTGGTACTGGGACTCTCTTTTGTGAGTGAATTTAATTAAATTTATGAAAAATTTACATATTTATTGGTTTAAATGGCCAACAATTTTTCCGTCTCCCACACGCACAAAATACAGTGCGTGGCGAAAGTATAAGAACACTCAAGATGTTGCTTGAATTTTGTTTTTTTTTCGACAAAAAAGTCATTCAATGATTCCACATTGGAGGACTTTTTTGCTTTGCCACATTCTCAGTTGTAGCCTTATCACCATGTACCGCACTGCCTGCATGAATATTCATAAAAAACAAAACCAAAAAGCAAAAATCAAAATCTCTCGTGTTGGTGTGTTTGTGTGTGCCCCACTTGGAGGGGAAATAGTTTTTTGGAAATGCAAATAATTGTACAGGAAGGCGGCAAAGGGAACCCAACGATGGGTCGAAAGTGAGTTATGAGTAGCACTCATTTGCTATTCACAAATGCACACAAAACGTAGAGGGGGAAAGGGGACACAACAAACTTGTCCACACATACGACAAACGGACAGAGGCAGAGGCAGAGACAGCTCTTGTTTGCCTCTCTCGAGAGGAGCGCATCCCGCTCCCAATCTCGAGATCTCTGAAATGCTTTCACTTCCAGAGCCACTTTGTGCTTTAATATATGTACTAGCTAGAGCACATGTATTAAGGCAAAGCCCACGCTTAGCCGATTGCTGTACAGTTTCCAATTCGGCTGATTCAACTTTGAAACGAAAAAACCCAACAAAGGGAGCAACAGACAGAACCGATGGCCAATGTTTGTTGACGGACTTATCTCTGTACACCAATTCATGGATTTACTATTCCCATTGTTTCGAAATTAAATGTATTTATGTATGTACATACTCGTACCGTACAGCCGCTGCACGCACCAACAAGGGGCAAAATCAAATCGAATGAAATGCGTTCACAAAGAGCGAACAGCAACACTAACAGAAACAGAAACAGAAACGGAAACAGAAACCCTAAATGAATTCAAGTTCTATTGACATTTGAAACTAAAAATCGAAAGTTTTTTTGTGCATAAATGCTCGATGGCCAGAGCCAGCGAGTATCTGCGAATATATGTATCGGAATATACTGGTTGTTGACCAGTTTTGCTGATTGCCCTGATATATGCCAGTCACATCAGCTGATTGGAATTGTTCGGATACGGAAACGGATACGGATGCCATTGCCAGGTGTGTGTCCTGTCAGAGATTGCTGAATGTTTCTATCGAATATGCAACATCCAAGAGGAGCTCTTCGTGGAAGGATTTGCATCTTAAGTGACTTTTGTTCTGTGCTGTGCCACTCCAACACCACTGTAATCCCATGGCTATAGGCCTGATCGTTGGCAGCTAAGACTCTGTTAACTGCAAAATTTGAAAAGTTTAAATGAATATTTCTTCGGAAATCTAATTTGAAATTTAATTATTTGATGGCTTTTTTTCGTTCTAGACACGAAACGTTCGTTGGTCGAAAGACCAACTGGTTTGTTTGTGTGCGATCCGAGAGACTCAGCCCGCATGCCCCTCATTTGTGGGTTCACTCAGTCACGACACGAAGCCAATAAAGTTCTCAACGGTTCTCCAGCGTACAGCGAACACTTGTTGATGATGCAATAAGTCTCTTGTGTCTGCAGTTGATAACTGTATTATTCAATTAACACTTGATTGATATGCAAACACTGTAGGCCGGCAGCTCGCAAACGATACGAGTACGTCCGCATTTGGCATCTAAAATCAAGCAAGAACTTGTTCCAATCGGCAGTTGTTCCAATCTGATATCCAAGGCAGATGGTGCGATGGATGGTAGTCATGCATATGGATGGGTTTTGGGCAGACCAGCATAATGGGATGGTTGGAGCCCACATGGTGGGAGCCGCTCATTGAAATGCGCACGCATGCGCCCAGCCAGCAACGACTCTGGCTCAAACCGGCTGGCTCTCAAGACTGAGACGCGATCGAATCAATGTATTGCCCAGATACGAGTTGAGACACAGACCGACCCCACAGCAATACCAGTTCCGCTGAAAGTGAATTGAGTTTTGTTTGCTGAGCTCCCAACTCGAACTCGAACTATCCATCGAATGCTCTCGCACCCTACAAGCTTAACGTCGACCAGCGCTGAAGGTTTTGGTTGGAATTTCAACAGCAACTTGAGCTTTTCGTTCTGGACTTAACCGAAACCCACAAAAGTACCAAATCATTTAATAATATCTATAAAAATTATTTTGTTACTCAATTTGTAGCTTCACCCATTTATTTGTATGCCTTTTAGCTATGGTCAGGTTTTTTTTAGCTCTTTACCGCTGTATGCCCAGCGAGCATCTCTGCCACTTCCTTCTCTCAAAGCCACTCATCCACTCTGAGTGCTCTGGGCTCTAAGTTGGCCAAGTGGCTGGCCAGCACTCGAGTGTTGGCTTCTTGCAATTTGTTGGCCCAAGTCTTCGATCAGTTGGCGGTTTGCATTTGCTCGCGGCGGACGTCTCTGTCTCTCTCTCTATTTCTGTCGCTCTCTCTCTCTCTCCGTTTCGCTCGTATCGAGATCGCTGTTGAATCGATACCACGTTGCAAAAATCACCCAAGAAAGCATCGAAACGTTTCGAATCAGGCAGAGAGTGGTGCGTCGAAGCTTCAAGATGCAACTGCAGCATTGTCTAGTCGCTGCAACGCTGCTAATTGTGGCTAGTGTGAATGGTAAGTGTCCTGGAGTTCCTGCCGTACCCACATCCCCTCCACCACATCTGGTTAACGTTTCCGCATTCGTTACATCCATCTATCCATCTATCCATATCTTTATCTGTATCTACCCCTATATCATTATTATTTTTTTGTTTTGTGTTCAATTTTTTTTACTGTGTGTGTTTCGTTCGTGTTTCGAGTGTAAAAGAAAGAAGCCAAAATAAATGTGTAGAGTGGAATGGAGTGCCTGGGGGCCTTGCTTCCTGTACGACATCGAATGAGGTAACATGGGAGATGGTGGCATTTCACGACTGCTTAACTGGTTTACCCCTCATTCACCCTCATGCTGTCTGCAAGGTCAGCACTGTCCTGGCCAACTCGTAACTGGCTGGATGGAGGGGGACCGAGAGTGGACTCTCATCTCCAGCGCCATGCCGTATCACTCTTCCTTTTACGTAATCGAAGCGGCGTCTGGCAACTGCCGGACTGACCTCCAACTTGATTAGCGGCAGCTTTTGCAGCTAGTTGTTCATACTAATTAACGATTCAGCCAGCGGCAGCATCAGCCAGCGGCAACAGCAACAGCGGCAGCGGCACACATTTACATACCTCACGGATACACACGGATATCGGAAATATCTGCTAGTCTCATGAACTTCATGAATATGCAAATCTATCGGCGTTCGGTGGTCGGTGGTCGGTGGTCGGTGGTCGGCACATAGACATTTTCATGGTCAACTTTTGCTTTCGTTTATTTGCTTATTCGTCTACTCTTTTATTTCCATCAATAGATCGAACCCCCCTCGAACTCTTTTGCCTACCCGCCGTAATCAATCCATAGCCGTAATGCCCATATATCCGATATATATGTACATATATTTCTGTGCACATTTTTGTATATGTGTGTTAAATTTTCTTCTTTCGATTTCACTTTCTTTTGTGCCGCCTCAACGGGGCCGCCTGGCCCTGGTTTGGCTTACAAAACTTGTTTCCAGCGGGCGCTTATTGCCTGAATTATGTAAACGTTCGGCGTAAAGCGCTGAAAAAAAAATAAAAATGTAAAATGTAAATTGTAAATGGCTGCTGACACCGTAACAGACAGCGGACAGCGCGGACAGGCCAGCCGGGAATGCCAATCTATGTGTAACAGAAGAGACAGAGAGAGAGTGGCGGCGGGATGGCGGTCGGCAGGCAGAGAGATTTATTTATGCAACTTTTGATTGTGACATTGATTTTGCCTTTTGGTTTTCGTTTTAATATTATTTTGCCATCGAATCGCATCGCATGGCATTGCATCTTCTCAACCGAAAACCGAAAACCCAGCATCGAGAGCATTGCATAATTGCTTTTTGATACCCTGCCATCAGAGACGGGGCCATCAGGTAGCTCTAAACTCTTAATACTCTTGGCAGTAATTAACAATAATATTTATTTAAAATTTGTCTCCCTGTCTTGGAAATCCTTTATCTGAATAATTGTGTGTCTAACAATTTGTAATAGTTAAAACATTCTTTGACGGGAATGCTCCGCTTAAACAAGCATATCCTTGAGGTAGTCGATGATGTGGCTATATATGTTTCTCTTGAAATCGAGAAACAACCCTAGATAATCACAGTGAAGCTCCACACTAACAACCGGATCGCTGGGATTTTTGCTCGGCACTAGTTCCATGGTGTAGGACAGCTCCAAGGCGGCCAGCAGGGCCTCAGCTTGCTCCTTCTCGCTCGGAAAGTCTTTCGAGTTGATGACCTTAAAAGCCGCCTCTTTGAGCTCTGTGGGAAACTTCTTGAAATAGTTGTGATCGCTCGTCCTGATTTTCATAATATTTGAATTGTTGCCAAGCTTGATGTACCTATAACAAGGCTCAGGCCTGAGAGGAATTTCGTTGATTTTCTTCATTTTAGACTCCAAGGGAGGAGTCTTCAGTGGCTTCTTCACAGGCTCGTCATCTGGATAAGGTAGTTCAATTAAATTCAACTTTACCTCTGGTAACTGCGCCTGGACTCGACCAGGGTTGGGTCTTTGGATGGATTCAAGAATGGGTGCAGGAATGGGTTTTGGGATATTTGTTTGGATGTCTTTTGGAATGGCTTTTGGAATTGATTTTGGCATGGAGAAATCGGGTTCGGCTCTGATATGGTTCGATACATCGAGGATCAGCTCGTGCAGCTTTCTGCGCTGCTTGATGCTCAGCGAACTGATCTCCCCGAACAATGTGCCTCTGCTGGTGGACATCAACGCCGAAGAGTCGGCTTGCTCCAGCACTTCTCTGATAACCGGAATTTGTAGAATCTGCTTCCACATGTGCAGCGCTGCCGCTTGTTTGGCATTCTTCTTCGATGCACCTGCAAGACAAACAAGTGAAAATATTGCAAACAGCTGTATTCGTGTGTGTTTGGGTGTTAGATTACCCTCGCCAACGGCCTGCACATCCTTCAGCTTTAAATGACACAGAAATCCATCAGTCTTTGATAACACTTCGTACTCTGGCATTGGCCAGTTGGTCTTCACGCAGAACTCATTCAAAAATGACATCACAAACTTTTGCGTCATGGCGTTGGTCCACGAAGATTTTAAGTACAGCTGAAAAGGTTTGGCAAATTGTTTGGTTATTGGAAATACTCTTATCGTAGGTCGGGCCCCTGGAACTGCCTACTTGCCCACACCCAGAACGACTTGGATTTACCTTGTAAACCTACTCCTGACTCAGCCAGGGAGCTAAGGGATACGTTTTCCTATGTGTAACCACGTAAAGCGCCTTTTTCTAATTTTCTTTGAAATGAAAGTCTCTGAAAGTCGACATTCAATTGAGAGATCCGAAAAAAAATGATGAGCACTTTCGAGATAAATTCGTGGCTGCCATCAGTCATGCGTTTGACTTAAGCCAGTGTTGATTAATGCTTCGCATAGCCTGCGGCGATACAGCCCCAGGCCAAATCTCATTATCCCCAAAAGGAAAAGCCAATTAAGAGAAGGGAGAGGAATTCGTCGCAACACACACTCAGAGCCTCTCCAGCTCGCTGTTTCCTGCCGTTTTCTGCTCAGAGAAGAGAAACGATTATCCTTCCTTACTTCTTCGTTGCGCAAGGCCAAAGCGAAAGAAATCAACATAATTTAAAAATACATTAAAACCGAATTGCAAAGAACAGAAGGATGGATACGTATGTACACACCACTTGTGATATAGGTGGGGCGCGGCACAATGGGGTCTGCCTGTCTGGCTGTCTGTTTGTCTGGCAGGCAGGCACATGAGCCATTTAAACGCAAATTTGTTGACAAAGGCAAGTGGCTTTGGCCATTACACACTCGAAAAGTGAATGCCGAGGTTTTGCCTCTCCACGCCCCACTCTCTGTTACTCTCTGTGCCGCCAGCACCACCCCCGCTGTCTCTCTTTGGGGCTAACCAAATCGGCATTATTTACAATTTAAGTGTTGTAAATGCAGAAAAGCAGCAACAGAAACACTCACAGAGAGGCACAGAAAGCGAAAAACGGAAACGACTGTGGGAATACCCCCTCCCGAACCGAGTCTCGGGGCAATCGCTCTGATGATTAATGATTACCTCTCAAACTAGTTTTATCTCTGGAATTTCACTTCAGGCTAATAATATTTTATTCGCGATAATCTTGAGGCACTGAGCGACGCGTATTCATTCATGAAGTACGATAAGCGACCGCGGGAGACTGGCGCAGCGCAGCAACTGACTCGAGCGTTCATATCTCCAAGCCACAGAAGGCGACCAAATTATTTCATAATAATGCTCACTCTTGCATCTGTACATATCAGCATGAAGAGAGAGGCCAGTGTGCTCCGATTTATGGAAAGAGAAACTCACACGCTCAGAGTCCCTCCAGTTCGCGGCTTCTGCTGGTTCCTGCTGAGCGAAGAGAAGAGAAGAGAAAAGATTTCTCACTGCACTTGACTCGCACTGGGAGATTGAGAGGTAATTGGAGCCTCACTCTTAAGATTCTCAATTGGTTGGGCGAGTGAAATGTGAGTGTAAATTCTGCTGATATTGCATAGAGGGGGGCTCGATCAGCCAGACGGCCCTTCACATTTGAGCGGAGCCATGCACACATATTTATTGGTCTGTCGATGTTTATTTTTATTCAAGAGCGTCGAGCAGCCAGAGGCAATGCGCGTCATACGACACTTGAAATACGTGTGGCTTCGGTTTCAATGTGAGTCATTGAAAGGGTAATCTATGATTTCTTTCCATCTGGTTTTGTTTCATTTTCTGTATTGGTTTTTGCCTGCCTGTGGCATGTGCTTGGGGCATGTCAATATGCCCTGCTCTACCCCGCTGGTAATGGGTATTAAAAAATAGCAATGTTGCTAAAGGAAGCAACAAAAACATTTAAGCAGCTTAACACACACTCTCACACAGAGCGGGAGAGTACGCGAGAGAGAGAGAGAGAGAGACAGACGGGCAGGGAGTGAGTGAAGGAGAGACAGGGACAGAGACACACATGGACAGGCGTGAAAAATGAGGCGCAAAGCAGCCACAGAAATGCGTGAAAAATTACTCGAAAATGCCACAGCGGATAAACACGGAAACAACAGAAAAAAAGAACAGCCGAAAACCGTTTAACCAAAAACAAATACACTTGCAACTTGCAACTTGCAACTTGCAACAAAAGCAGAAAGAGACAGCGAACCCCAGCAGGCGAAAGAGAAAGAAAATGAGACAGGGACAGAGCGAAAAATTGGATAGACCATGGCCAGACAGAGACAACCGCTGAATGGGAAATGTTTTAAGTGAAAGAAAAATGAAAAGAACCGAAACGAAACGAAACGAAAGGAAAGGAAATGCAGGTAAAAAGAATAAAAGGGAATGCAGGCAGGGGCAGGAAAGAAAATTGAGAGAACGAAACGGAAGGCAAGGAAAAGCTGCAGCGGGGGAAATGCAATTTAAGCTGAAAACCCCACCAAGCACTCATTCATATTCGAGGCAGGGAAAATCCAATAGACTATCAATAGTATTCCTGCAAAATGGTTAGTCCACGGATAATCTGGACATAGGAGAAAGGTTTCCATTCAAAAAGATACTTAAAAACGTCTAAGTGCCATGGGAATAACAAAAAATTATAGCTACGATGTCCCCTTTTGCATTCATATGCACTCATGAGTATCAGGTTGGTGCAGTTGATTGCATTCCTTTTCATTTAATTGCTTTACAACACTTGTATTTACACCGTTTTGTTTTTCTTTACGCTTTTTTTGCCCCTTTTGGACACGCACTTTCGCTGCAGTCGCATTAATGAGGAAAACGATACAGACGATACAAATGCATAAAAATCATTAAAACAAAGAAGCTGCCGAGCAGACCACACCCAGAGAGAAAGGCATTTTGCGGCCCCATTCGACACCGAAATGTATACAATGTATTTTAATGAGGCACAGAAAACCGTAAGAGGCTCTGTGTACTCCTTCCACGTGTTTGTTTTCATTTCTGCCATGGATCGATTGTGGAGCACGCTCCCTCAATTTATCTTTTTGCGAAATGCTGTCTATAAAAACAACATTTCTGGCATCAATCATCGCTTTAAAGCACGCATTCTTCATAGGTTAAACCTAAACAAGAAAGAATTGATAATTAAGGGGTGAATGACCCGCACCGGTGTCGCTCTATCATGCTGCCTGAAGGAGCTTTTTTATTATTATAATCCTCAAATTAATTCCGTTCTTCTTCTGTAGCTCGGCTGATTGTTGATTTATCAAAAATCATTCACAAGAATTGAATTAAATTTGCAAACTGCCGAATGGCAGTCGATTTACTCGCTGTCCCTTTCTCTCTGTGTCGCTGTCTGTCCGTCTCTGTTTCTTCGTGTCGCTGCCGCGAGTCTCGCTTTAAACTGCCGCAAAAATGTTAAATAAATTATAGCCATGCGAAAAGAAAAATCGCCACTGCAACAACAATGCATTGCCGAGGGAAAAAACCAACAATTAAAAAAAAAAGGAGAATGAAAACGGTAGGGGGAGAGTGGTGAGAGGGGGAAAACTGAAACAAGAAAAAGGAAAATTATTGCACGATGTGCATAAAATAAAGATTTTTCCAGCCTTTCGCCAGGTTCTGCCCCATTTTGCAGTACGCTTCGGCTGGCGGACACTTTAATTTCTTCTTCAGAGCGGTTCGGTCCCTTTTCCGATCCCTTTGAACGAACGAACGGCCCACCGTTTTTGGGCTTATTTTTAATTATTATTTTCCGCACTTCCGCAATTTCTTAATTAAGGGAATCGAACAAATAAACACAAAAAGTATACAATAAATATTGAAAAAAAAAAAAGATGCAAAAGCCAAAGAGAGAAGCAGTTGCCATGTAATTGGCCTTATGACTTTTTAAATAAATGTACAATAAATTAATTATTATCATTATTTTTTCGTCTTTTCATTGCCGTGCAGTCATCGTCCCCGCAGCAGCAGCAGGTACGACGATAACAGGAGGCTAACAGTAACAATAACAGTAGTAAAGTTGCAACTCTTGATACTAACAGTGGGAGTTGTAGAACAACTGTAGATAGATGTTGGCCAGAAGCCAGAAAATATAAAAATATTTATTTATGCGTTGACAATAAATATATGCCGATAAATATTTCATCGTTAATTGTTTGTTGTATTGCATCTGCACAGAAATAACACAGTAGGATGCATAGAAACCCCAAGGGAGTATTAATACTATTAGTTTCCCCCACCTTGAATACTGAATGATTAGTAGATAGTTTGACTAATTGTAATATGATTTTCTTAACAAACAATTTCCATGCCTTTGAAGATTATACTGGCAGCCCTCACGTACTTACAAACATATATTATACGAGCACATATATAAATCCTTTTAAACAAAGTCGTGTCTCAGCAGAGTCTCCATCGATGGCCGGGTTGCCCTTCAATCCGTTCTTTTCCTCCGCTTTTATTTTGCTGAACTTTAGAGTGGCACTCCCACGAGACTTGAAACACTGCAAATACACAGCTCTCTCTCTCTATCTTCCTCTCTCGACAATGGGGGGCTGGTGTAAGCCGCTTAGAGGAAGTCGCCTCATTAACTGTGACTTCTTGTAACAGTTCCCGGTAATATCGCCCCTGCTTTGGAGTGGCCCAGGGCTAGCAGATTGACATGGACACGGGACACGGGACACGGACATGGCCAGATGGGTGATGGTGGTTGGTCTGGTTAATAAATATTAATTAGCAATAATAATTATATGAAAATGTTTTTGCATCACTCTCCACTTCTCCACTTCTCTGCCTCTCCACACTCACTCTCTCTCTTTTCTGTATCTTTCTTTGCTGTTGCTATTTATGGCGGATTTTTTCTCTTTTGTGGTACAACATTTTCATTTGATTTAATTTTATTTGCCAGTGGCTGTTTTTGTTGGCTGGTTATTGTTTATTTTACACACATTCCATTTAAATTAACTGGAATTTTGTTGCAATTCTGCGGCACTGTGGTTGCTGAGCACACACCGTGGATATACTCCCACCTCAAATATTTTAGCGCAATTTTTTTGCGCCATGCCTTAACCATTTTCCATGTTTATGAGTCTGTTCCATGAACATTAAAGCTTTTACTTTTAAAGCCATCCACTTAGCAGTAATCGGTATCAATTCGAGAGAGGCAGAGGTTGCAGTCATGCAACTCCGTTCATAATAAACCATATTTCCATCCTGAAAACAAAGAAAAACGTATCGAAGAATATGTGTGCAACAAATAAATAAATAAAGCACTGAAAATTGCCAAAAATGAAAACAGGGGATACGTGCATTGGAAGTTTTTTACAGCCGTATTTCCATGGTTGCTAAATGAATCCCACCGCTGCCCAAAATGCACTTTGGCTCTGGTTAAGTGAGTAGATGTTCGATGTCACACAGCGGAGTGGCACTGGTAATGGCGATGGCGATGAGGATAGGTTACCAAAAGTTCACCGAGTAAACGTACATACATACATCATACATCATTGCATCAAGATATGTACGCCAGCTTAAAGGTGAATTCAATTCAGCTGAGTGCGAATATTGTTTGCGTAGCGATTGAATATATTCGCAGCTCAATGCAAATTGTATGTTTAAAGCTGCATTTATGCGATAGCTTTTGTTGGGCATATAAAACTCTTTGATTCTTATAATCCCCTAACATTTTCATAGAGCATTTAGCTGTAGTTTTTTTGGTGGGGGGGTATTTGGCTATCAATTAATTGCCATTTGCATGCCCTGGCAACAGTGAAAAATCATAGAACCTGACAAATAATTATAATAATTATAATTATTGTGGCAGGAACAACGGCCCATGCTGTGTGCACGCACTGCAATTGTGTTCAATAATAGTTTTCATTTGATTAACATTTAGCGCCCAAAGTGGAATGAATACTTTATGAATAATTGCAGCGACAGCCAGCCCCACCATGGACGGATGTTTCGTTCCGCTAAATTCATCCCAAATTCCGGCTAAACTCCACATTTACCACCCATGGAAACCCGTTCGTATCGATTCCATGGCGAAATGGGAAACGGGAATATGGGCGCCAACATTTTGCTGTAGACTTTTGCTGTTTGCGTTTTAGGCTCGTGTTAATCTAATGCTGTTAGTCAATTTGTATTCATTATGGCTGAAACTTGTCCAAGACCGCGACAGAACAGTGCGCGGTGTGCTGCCCCAATCCTCCCCCGCTCAAACTTTTCCATCACCCTGTG